GTTATATTGGTTATTTGTATTTAGTGGGATGAGAATTTTCATTATACATTTACTTTTCTCAAAGCACACTCGCAACATGACAATCTACAAACAATTAGTACTATTAATCAATTAATCAAACTAACCACAAGTACTAATTATTACTAGAATTACATTTCACTATTCATTTTCTTTCACTTAAGAAATCTAAGTCCATTACAATATAATCACCACTTTCTTTTACTTTAACCAATTTCATCAAACTCTTTTACAACTTTACTCTCAATTCCCTTCAATTGAGAGTTAATTTAAATTTACAACTTTAAAACTTTATCGTTTAACTTTAAACTTATTGTAAAACCTTAATTTGATCCCCAAGAACCTTTTCATTATCAAAAGGAAATAAATAAATTCCTTAAAACTTTTCGATTCAATTTCTTTATTACTTAAATTAAGAGAAATTAGTATGGAATCAAAGCTAAGGGCGGTATGAAACTTACCTAGTAAGCTACTAGTTAGAAATATCTTTTAAGCTTTCAATATTTGATACCCCTAACAAAGCTTCCCTCTTCTTCCCCTCCTCTGTGCTTCTTTCCATCTATCCCTCTCCATTTCTATGAGTTGACCATGTATGCATTTATCAATTTTTCATGTCATGCATTGCGGCACAGGCAACTTGTGCCACGATGTGTGGTATAGTGAAGAAAATCCTCACTGTACACACCTGCTTTACTTCAAGATGCGATCCTTCCACTTGTGTTTGCTCATTCAACAAACTTAAGCATCAAAACACCAAATTGTTTTCCTATATATTAGTTTATCCTCAATTAGTAATTAGTTTTGAAATTATGAAATCAGGATGTTACAGTTAACTCATAACTAACAAAAAAAAAATTTTGCTTCTCAAAAAATAATTTAAAAGAAAAGTTATCCTATTTATTAATATGAGATGTTTAATACTCATTGAAAAAATATTCTAAATAAAAATGAACTTTAACTCAATAAAAATGCACTTTTCTATTTGTATAAAAGTAAAAAATAATATAATGAAAATTGAAAAATTGGACGCAGTGTGGGTGGTGCAATTATTACTGATCATTGTACCTACCTCTTTCAAACAAAAAGACACACGTTGCATGTTATTTGGGGAAGAGGGTTCTCTCCAGTTTTTTTCTCTCCATTTCCCTCTACTTCTCCCATCCCTCCCATTCATTAATTTTATCATTTAAAAAATTATTTAATAAAATAATTTGAATGGTGGGGATGGGAAAAGTGAAGGAAAATGGAGGGAAAAAATGGAGAGACCCAATGTCATTAACTCTCCCGTTATTTGGCCGCAAGGACTGGTAGTGGGTCCAATGTCATTAACTCTCAAAAAGTTTAAAATATACTATATTTATGTGGGAAGGCCTTAGGAACAAAAGTGATACAAAATGACAATAATGTCTTTAACTACCTTAGGTATAACGCGGGGATGACCGGATGGGCAATGGGACTTGCTTCTTTGTTCTTTCCCTTATGGCCTATTTGGTAAGATGGAATTGGGGTTGAAGAAGTGGAAGTGAAACTAAAAAATTAAGATGTTTGGTAAACAAGAGCTCACTTCTTTATGGAACTCGATTCCATCAAAAATGGTAGAAGTGTGTTCCATCCTTAGACCCAAAGAACCTACTTCCTTCTTTGTTTTCTCATTTTTACACTCAACTTCTCTCCTTCCATGTTCGATCAAGCTTTATTACCTACAATATTCATTGACAATGACATGATGAAGGACTAAATCAGCGAAGATGACCGAACCTCATCCTTGTGACTGATTGACTGACGAGTGGCCTCTTTACCCATCTCGAAGTTGCAACATTTTACACTAAATTGACAAAGGGCTTTGATGATTGTAATGGCAACAACTTTCAGAGATCCCACGACGTAAACATGGACTAGTTGAGTGGGCGAAAAACTTGAAAGATTGTGAATTCTATGCATGTTTTCCTCTTCAAAATGATTTAATTTTGTTTTCTTTACTAGATTTGTTTGATTTTGGAACTTTTTGTCAATAGCATTTGAGTTTGGATTTTTTTCCAGCCTTCGATTTTATTTTAAGGAGACTTTTAATTTTTATTTTGTTCTTTGGACACCATGGTTTTGGATTTGAGGTCTAAAAGATATCTTCAACTAGTTTGAGTAGATGTCAAAGAAGATGAAGATGTGAATTCCATTGATATGTACAGTTGTGGCCAGCAGTTAGATAATGAAGACAAAGGGGTATTCTTTTTTTTTTTTTAATTATGGGGGTGTCTTGGTCCTTTCAAATTATAAATGTATTTATAAAATAAAATTTTTGAATCACTTTCATATGCATACCAAACACATTTTTAAATATCACTTGCACTTTTACTTTCATTTCTTTAAAAATTCTTTCCTTGTACCAAACGTTGACGTTACTCTTTGTCCCATTCCCTTCCCATTTCTCATCTCAATGATTCAATTTATTTTTGAATATCGTGAGATTTAATATTTTATAAATTTATTATTAAAATGTGAAATTTATGAAAAATATATAAATAAATTTAAACTATAAGTAATTTCATCCAAATTACAATTCAAGATTTAGGATTATAATTAAAAAATGAAAAAATTTGTTTTATAGAATGTTAAATTTTAACCATTCAAAAATGAGATTGAAATAGAAAATGAAAAGAAAATAAAGAGAGAGAAAGTGAGGAGAAACCAAGTTTCATGGGTAATTATTTTTTGGTGCCGACGCAACCTACAAGTACTAGCCAAAGTTACTTTAAGATAAAACACTTAAATCAAATATTGTTCAGGTGTTCAAGTTTAACGGTTGGTTAAACTAATAATGTCATTTTTAATAAACACACTTTATTACCTCATTTCATGATTGAAATTAAAAAAAGAAGTTGGTTGTGGTTGGCGCCTCGGTGGTGTTGAAAAAAGTGAGAAGGAGATAGAAGATCACGTGAGGGAACTATCTTTTCGAAGAGGGACACGTGATGGATATGTCTGCTGTCTGGCGGGGCTACGCCGTTCGGTGTCCCCGCTGATCCGAATCACACGAGCAATTAGGTTCATTGCTTTATACTGCGATTTTTTTGGGGTGACAGGGGCCCATACTTGATACCTTGATCATGTAATTATTAAATTTTTGAGTTGGACCTTTAAATTTAATTTTTTATATTTTTAATTTATAAATTTATATTAAATTATTTATAAATTTAAAGTAGATGTAAATTTGATTAAATTCATGAGTTTATTTTTAAATTTATTATTTTTATATTTTTAATTTATAAAATCATGTCAATAAAGTTATAAATTCAGATTAAATTTAAACTTAATTAAACTTGTTAAATTCATTAATTTTTTTTAGTTGAGTTAATTAAGTATATATTATGAAGAATTTAATTTATAAAAATTATAAAACTTTGTTCAAAGAAAAAAAACTTTAAATATAAAAATTAATATTAATAAAAAAAATATCATAAATGAGTTTTCCTGTTTTAAAATTTTTATGTCTTGTATATAATAATTTATCAATAAAAATGAGTTTAATTTTAATAATTTATATTTTTAATATATTTAAATTAATTATAATCATATTTTAATGATTATTTATTAATAAAAATAAAATCATCTAAATTTGTGATATAAGTTGTGAGTTTAACAATCTTGATATTGATGATAGTTTTCACCTAAAAAAAATTAAATTATAGCTGTTAAAAAATATAAAATATTTTATGCTTTAAGATATAATCAATATAACTTTTAAAAATGTTTTTTATTAAAAATAGAATTAATAATTAATAATTTTTTAATCATGATTGTATGTTTAATGATAATAAATATAAAAAAAGTTTCATTTTAAATGTCATTAGTTAATTTATTGGAAGGTTATAAAAAATTAATTTATTAAATAATTAAAAATATTTTATAATACTGAATAGAAAAAATATATATACAAATATTTTTTTGAAAGTACAGTACTGTATAAAATATATATCAAATAATATAATCCATCTAGATCTCTATATAAACTAGAGTCTAACGTCGTCCACTGCGGAGACCATCGGGTCATATTATCATCCCACGAGACGTATTTTTGTATCCTTGGGACACGGTGCGAGATGGTTCCAACTTCTCCGCAAACGAAATTTTTGAAGCTTCCTCGAAGCTACGGGGCCATAATAAAATATAATAAATTGACTTATCTTTGTCCTAATTTACACATATTTTTTAAACAAACAATAAAAATTAGGAAAAATTATTTTAAAATTTTATAAAAAAATTAATTATTATAAAATTAATTAATAATTAAATTAAATTATATTGACAATATAATTAATTATTACTGCATTTAATTTAATTTTTAATAAATCTTACAGTAATTAATTTTATTATATAAAACTTGATTGTAATTTTTTTTAAAAATTACTATCAATAATTTATCCACACGGCAATTAAATGTACTTGCTAAAGGATTAACTTCAACAGATGAATAGTTATTCTACTTTCCACGACAATTCACGAGGTAAAATGTCCCGTTTCACAAATTATATCACTTCATGTATATATTGTAATTTTTTATTTTTTAATACTTCAACAATCACAATGTAATCTGCTTCTTCAATAAAATTGATTGATAAAAAATGGTTTTCTGTAGTCATTGCTATTTCCAGTTGTTACCGAACAAGAGCGAGCACTCAGGCCGAGGGTAATACCCTAATTGCTTTTTGGCCCTTTATTGGTCAAAATTCAAAATTGGTCTCAATCTTTTGAAATTATAATTTAGCAGATGTTACTACATTTTTGTGGATTAACGAATACATCTTTTATTGAGATAAATCGCATAAAATACGGATAGGTTTTGAGGACAAAAACTTGAATCCTGCTAGAAATTGACGAAAATTGAAACTTACTGAATCTTGTATCTTTTAAAGTTTTGTAAATCGTGACCCTAGATGTAATTTTCCATGCTCCACGAGATACAACGGCGTGCCCAATATTCTCAAGGCCCACAAGTTAGATGAAAACGAAAGAAAAAGTGGTGGGAAATTGGAAAAGGATTCAGCAACTACATCTAGACCAAGATGTGAGCAAGAAGGCAAAGCAAGAAAACTGTGGCGCTCTATTCCTCGTTTCTTGGGGTCATCTCATCTCATCTCTTCCTGCTTCTCTGTAAATCACTACCACAGTTTAAACTTCGCTCAAAAGCGAAGAATAATAGTGAATCTTTATCCTGCTGCTCAAATATTGGATTGCATTGAATAACAACTACATCAACAATCGGGGAAAAGAGAAGAAGGGCTGGCCGTAGCAGAGCAACATTATGGGCATACTGTACGACGACGTTGTAATTATCCGGCCGCCGGAGAAGGAAGGTGACCCGAGCGTGATTACTGTGAATTGTCCTGATAAGACTGGCCTGGGCTGTGATTTGTGTCGCATCATACTCTTCTTCGGTTTGAGCATTGTCAAAGGAGGTAACTCAACATCCATTAATCATCCAATTGGCTAGGAAATGATAGACGGGGATGGGATCTCTGATAATCCGCTTATTTTGTTTCGCTTTGTTGATGTTGCTGTACCTGTAATTTGATTGATGGGTGTGTTTGTTGCTTTGTCTTTTAGTAAGTGATTTTCTCCGGTATTACTGATTCAATCTGCCAAGTTCCTGGCGGGCTTCATTTCTATCCTTGTTACCTGATTTAAAGTTGTTGAATTTGGGACTAATTGTAATCTTCTGTTGTCTTCTCTCCTTTTCTTTTCCCGCATTCAAGACGTATCAACAGATGGGAAATGGTGTTATATAGTTTTCTGGGTGATTGGGAAACCTAAGACGAGATGGAGTTTGTTAAAGAAGAGGCTAATTGAGGTGTGCCCATCTTGTTCTTCCGCTTCTGGGATTTCTTATTACCGCTCTGACTTGCAGCCTCCGAAGCCTCCCGATGTGTTCCTTTTGAAGTTTAGTTGCCATGATCGTAAAGGTCTTTTACATGGTAAGTCTTGATCTTTAATGATCGATTTTATATGTTTGTAATTTGATGGTCGAATCCTGACAATTTTTAGTAACTTCTTCAGTGTGCTAAACTGCTTCTAGCTTTTTCCCCCCTTGTGAAAACAAATTCATGATGTTGGCGTTATATTACTGTGTTATTCCCCATCCTCACACCCTACTGTTCTGCTTTTCTGAAATTCTTTCGGAAAATCTGGAAATGGATCATAGAGATCTGTTAGATTGTTGCGAAAATCATGCCCAATGATTTTACAACAGCAGTTTGATGCCTTTGTCAGGATTCATTCTGGTTTTAAAGCTTTGTTTTGTAATGCTCCACTTAATTGGAGCCACCCATACTGTAGATTTCTCGATGCGAAGACATTTTCTTTTCATCAGACTACATCAATTTATGATGTGATTGTTGTTTGGAATTTAGTATACAGGAAAAGATAATGAAGATGTCTTTATGATGACCACAGATGTTACCGAGGTTCTTTGTGAGCAAGAGCTTACCATCAAGAAAGTGAAGGTATCTACAACACCTGATGGAAAAGTTATGGATCTGTTTTTCATCACAGACACCAGGTTGTACATTCTTTATGTATCTTTTGAAACAATCTTATTCTGAGATTTGTAAGCCTTCCAAAGATTTTGAAATAGTTATTAGTGAATAGTGAAAAATGTTTTCTTTTTTCTTTTTCTTTTTGATGAAAATGGACATTGAAATGTTTATTTGTCTATTTGTGTACATTTCCACCTCCTTTTAGCTTATTAATGTAATTAACTCTTTGATGATGTAACTATATCAGGGAGCTTCTACATACAAAGAAGAGGAGGGATGACGCAATCGAACACTTAACAGCTATATTAGGGGATGCCATAATCACTATTGATATTGAACTAGTTGGCCCAGAAATTGCTGCATGTTCTCAAGCATCTTCTTTTCTTCCAATTGCAATCACAGTGGACGCCTTTGATTTGGAATTGTCTGATTCAGTTCGGAGTGGATTTCTCTCTTCAGAGAAAGTTGCTGTTAAAATGGATAACTTGCTGAGTCCAGCTCATACGCTTGTCCAAATTATGTGCCAAGATCACAAAGGTCTTCTTTATGACATCATGAGAACTCTGAAGGACTACAATATTCAGGTATTGCGAATTGAAATCTGAATAGGCTGCATGCATTAGAATAGAGCATATAACCTCACTGTAAAATTTGTGAATCAACCAGATTTCGTATGGGCGCTTCTCTCAGAAACCTAGAGGAAAATGTGAGGTTGACTTGTTCATCATGCAAGCAGATGGGAAAAAGATAGTTGACCCCGGCAAACAGAACTCGTTGGCATTGCGCCTCAGGCTGGAACTAACTCGTCCTCTCAGAGTAGCTGCTGTGAGTAAGGGCCCTGATACTGAGCTTCTAGTTGCAAACCCTGTGGAGTTATCAGGCAAAGGACGACCCCTTGTTTTTTACGATATCACTCTTGCTCTCAAAATGCTGGACACTCGCATCTTTCTGGTAATTGCTTGTCTATGTTTATGCTTTCTGCTGTATAGTTTGTCATGTTTGTTCCAATTGTTAAGTGAAGTTATTTCCCCTAAGCCCTAAGGTCACTGCGCTGCTGCTGAACTTAGGGCTTTCTTCCATTATTTATGAAAGACAGAGTGGGGGGGGGGGGGCAGAGAGGAAGATGGAAAAGTGCAAGTTACACGGTGTTCGTATTTGTTCTTTTGAACAGACCGCATGCTAATATTGTGGATAATTGCTGTAACAGGCTGAAATTAGGAGGCACATGATTGGGGACAGAGAGTGGGAAGTGTATAGAATCTTGGTGGACGAATGGGAGGGACAGCGTGTTGCAAGGAGCAAGATTGAGGAAGGAGTTTGGAGAATGTTGATGGGTTGGGAGTGACGTGATCCATAGTGGTGGTTGCCTTTAGATGAAACCTATGCCTCTGTACAGTGTAACCTAGTTTGTCATTTAGATGTAATTGTTAAATGTGTTATGAAAACGATTATGTTGGTCGCGTAATCCTAACTTGGTGTATAGATATGAGAAGGAAGCAGCAAGGAGTAGGTGCAGATGGAAGAGAGTGAGAATATTTGCACGAGCGAGTACATGAAGATGAGATATTTTAAAGTCATAATCATATTTGATATTTCCAATTTTTTGATGTTCTGCCAGCTACTCGTATTCGTGACTCTCTAAATCCGTGGCAGTCCGTGACTAGAATCACATCAATCGAACTTGTATGCTTTGCATGGGAAGTTGGCGGTTTTATTTGGAACTTAATTGGCCAGTTGTTCCCTTCACGAACGGCAGCGAGTGCAGAAGTAGCTTTCAGAAACAACTTAATATGTGGATTGTAATTACTTGTCCTAACGTCAATTTGATGGCCATTTACACTTGACAGGGACGGCAGATATTTTTATTATAGTATAAAATGAACGCTGGCAGGACTCTTTAACTGTGTCTGATCTTTTGGAGTTTTACATTGCATGATGTGGCTTCTTTCCCAATGATATTAACGCATGAGGGATCCCCCATCCGGTTCTCTGCTATCCAAAGATTCTTTCCATTTCTCTCTGCAATCGCTACCTTCAAGATTCCTTGTCTTTTACCCCCTTTTTGTCGGCATCTTATATGGAACCCCGCAGATTCCTGTCGTTAGGACTTTGACAAATCCTTTATCATATTTATCGCTGTCTTTATTAAAGATAAACGTTCTTGACGTCAGAGAAGCCCCCAAAACCACTTTCCGTGGTCTCCCGTGTTAAATTTGATCCCCTTCTCACTGGATGCTTAATTGTATTTCTTTTTTTTTGGTTGCCCACCTGATATTGAAAGCTGACTAATTTGGATCTGACTCAGGTCGCGCACCTAGCTATGGTAAGTATGTCTTTCAACGGGAATTTTTTTGTATACACATAAAGTTCAAACTTGAAAACTTGCTTTAGCAGAATCAAGCTACTTACCACTCAGACCAACCCTTATTAGTGCATGCTTTATTATATTGGCTCAACTAATAAGAGATTCAGGGTCGTTAAAGTAGTCCACAATAGGATTTTGCCCCAAGAATATCTTTTTCTTCACAAAAAAAAACTCTGAAAATTATGTAGAGGGATAAAAAAAATTGGAACCACGTGGATGAGGAAAAAAAAAATGAAACAGTTTTACACCACCAAAAAAAGGGGAAAAAACCAATGCAATAGTGGAATGAACAGACAAGAATCGCCGAGCCTTCACTTATAGCTTCCAGTATATCCCTATCTTGTGCAAGATTCCAGAAACCACAGCCCAGAAAGTAATCTCAGCAAATATAACGTATAGAAGAGTTCCCACCCTCTCTGAGTGCCAAACGTTCACAAACACGTGCTTACGGATCCAGTGTACCTGATTTTCAAGATTTATTCAATTTTGTTAGTTATACAGAACATGATCAAAATAGATCATGAATAATAAAAGGATGTTTCTTCTCACCAGTGAGTTCTGTGGATTTTCAAAGTACCATCCATTTACAAATGCTGCAAAGACGCCTTGTGCCGCCAACACAAACACTAGCATTGCGTTCATTCCTATCCACTCCAAGAACAAGAATGGAGTCCGAAAACCCCACACATCGATCTGTTCATAAAAATATGTTTAAGAAGAAAGACAAGCTGAAAGAAAATCAAACAACCAAGGATAAAGAAGAAAAGTCACAGTCGAATCACAATTTATGATTTTACCAGAACATAGAACCCAGAAAACACAATGCCAGCGGCCCCTGCTGTGAAACAAAAATAGCTGAAGCTGTAGAGTTGCTTGTTCAGAGGAATGGCTGCATTTCACGGAACTCATTGGCAAAATTCATTCATTTCTGGCAAATATCGTAATGGACACGTATTCAATTCATCTAGAAGAGGCGCGTGCCTGTTTGAACTTACCGTCTGTAAAATGAAGAATGATGGCTACAAGGAATAATCCAACCCCCAAGAAGGAATAACCCATTGCTTGAGCCTCTCGGAATGACCCTTTCGGACTCTTAAACCCCAAATGACTTCGCATTAATAGATTATAAGGCCCGTGAGGATGAACTCACTAACCTTGAAGTGCATCAACACATGCCCGTAGTGGATGCCAATCGTTCCACTCATGATAGCCGATATAGAGCTAGTTCACAGAAAAGGAACACAATAAAGTCTGTCGTTAGAAAATTTTCGAATTTACAGTTCTTCACACACACACACACACACACACACCTCATCAAAAGGAATAAACCTCAACAAGCCTTCGGGTTCAAACGGAGCACGGCACCAAGTTGGAGCATCATCACGAAAAGGACCTGCACCTGGGGAACTGAATGTGCATACCTGCAATACGTCGTAGTAAAAAATAATCAAATGAGACTGTATATTGACTCAAGGTAGGTTAGAAAACGAAAGTTTTATTTTTTTAAGAAAAATTAAAGAAGATATAATTGAAGAAGTGACCTTGAGGCGTCTCCAAACAGGATAAGAATAGAGATGGTTAATTCCCCAAACTTGTCGGTCCACGTATCCAACGGCGTTACATGCAGGCTCTACGTCTCCTCTGACTCCGCAAATCACCTATATGGGGAAAGAAAATAAAATAAAAAAAAGTCTTACAGTGTGATATTTTTGTAAGAATAATGTGAAAGTGAGGGGATAGTGATAGAGAGAGCAGATACAGTGAATCTCTTGGGTTCATTTTCATTACGATCCACAAAGCTCCAATCCGGAACATAGTGTATAGACTGTGATCATATATATAAGGAATGCCACAAAGCTCCCTAACCTATTATCATGAAGTCACGAATTGAATTCATTCAGTTACTAATTTAATAGGAACAGGATTGTCATGAAGAATGGGGCACGTCTGTTGCTTTCTTAGTCCTTACCATTGCCATTTATAGGCACTGAAAACGGGGATGAGTCCAGGGCTTAAGGACGTTGATCTGTGCTTGGCGGTTAATGCCTCTATCAGAGCAATGACACAGTAAACAACAGCTATTCTCTGAGCATCCACAAAGACCAAGTGGTTTGACAAGAAAATTAACAAGTGAGTTACAGAATATAGACAATAACAAGATGACTTTGAATTGTGCCCTCATGTATCTCCACAAGTTCAAACCTGGAGAATGCCACACCATCTGATAAATTTCATATTAACTCCATAGGACAGAACATCAGGAGCATGAGAGTAACCACCTACACCATGTTATATTGTCAGAGCCTCTACGTCCTTGCAGCACAAATCACTTTCTATAATCGACACAAAACTATATTACCTTGCAAAAGAATACCCCAGAACATGAGCTTCAATGTCCTCACCGTTATCTTCTTCACAGCATCATTTTTGTCGGGGATTCTCTGTTTTGTTACAACATTGACAATGAATAAGTAAACTTTTGAAAGAACACAGCTCTGATAAATCGTTTAAAACGGAGCGGAGATACACTACGCCTTAAAGGCGAGGGCGATGGCAACCCCAACAATGAAAAGAAAGAAAGGCATAACAAAATCGGCCAATGTACATCCATTCCACGGGGAGTGATCTCTACGTGGATAAGCTACTCCAGCATCGTCAACCAGGATCATCAACTAAACACCAACACACAACACAGTTAACTTGACATTTCAAATTCAAAAACCACACCGTACCGAACTAAACAACTAAATCATGATGATGAAATGGAGGGCATAGAGACCACTATGGTGAGGCCCCTGAAGGCATCTAAGGTTGCAACCCTCTTAGTCTTCTGCTTAACCAGTGGCTTCTCCATGCTGAGCATTTTTTTCAACGTCTGTTGTCTTAACTTTTATCTCTATGTCATGCTCATGCTCCTCAGGTTCCAAATTCGTATAATTTGTTTTCATAGTTTCCTCCTTATGATCATCATTTCCTGCAGTTGTATATCTGTGTACCTCTTCCATTCTCTTTGATCCACCTTCTTCCATGCCTCGCTGTTTTTTGGTTTTCAATTTCTTGGTGGGAGCAGAAGCATGGAAAGGAAGGAGCAATGAAGAGCGACAAGCACTAGGACGGGTGATATTGTATTGAACTATTGACCTAGGATTAAATAGGTGGGACGTATTTTATGTAGGGGTATATTACAGGACAACGTTTGTTTCTTCTTGCAGCTCGATCTGTTAGTTGAATTTGTGAAATTACGAGTCTGTAAATTGACTAGCCCCAAGTGGAGTTTTACTCAACAACAACAATTACCCCCCTTGATGCTGCGAGTTTAATATATAATACAGTGCAGGTGGTACACACGTTTTTCTTAAAGATTGTCATGGTTTTTCTTTTTATGATATTGGCATTGCTGATGCAGTGTTTGGTGGCACTGACTTTCCGCGATCATAATATCGGAAGCGTATTATTGATAATGTACATAGACAAGAGAACAAAGAACACATCCGGACAACAAGAATGGTGTTCGAGGCCTGCAACATTTTTAGCGCAATTCAGGGTCGGCTGCACACATACATTTGTTATTGCATTTCTTCTTATCGCACAGCGTGAGTTATTCATGAAGTGACCGAGTGACGCATATAATCATGTCACACGTATGCAGCCGGCTATGCATTTCTGAAAATTACTTTATTTTCTTGGCATCCGAAGAGCTCTTATACACCTATATTGGCGGAAGGGATCCAAAGTTTTTATTTTATCTGATAGCAAAGGTCTTTTTTAATAATAATAATAAAAAAAAAGAGGGATCAAGATTGGGCCGCCTTTAATTGACATGATTTATCAAAACCATTGGGCCTGAAGCCTCATAAATCGTTTAAAATCGTTGGAAAATGGAAATAGAAGCGAACGGGAGTCATCGGGTACATTGGAGCTCATATATTCCTGGAATATAGCGTAAGAGACGTGGATGAGTGGTTCCCGGAAGATTAGTATCCCTAAAAAGAATAAAGGTGAGGGAATCTGTTTGGTTATTTTAGTATTTACCTAAGTGCAATGTATTCACAAGGAATCGTCTTAGTTGGTAGACTCTATCGATCATGTTTTCATACTGAATATGGTAGACAAGTTCCAAGACCTCTAACATATCCACCGCCGTCTTACAACACAATCTCAACACAGAAAGCATAAAAAAATAAAACATGAAGCGTGGGGCCTCCATTCGAAGGTTGTAACGGATCCGATGAGAAAACGCAGGAGCAAGAAAGGAAGAGCCAGAGGCAGGCGCTGGCGAGCGTCCAGGATTCCGATCCCCCCTGTTTGGTCGGACTAATCTTGTTGCCCACTAAGCCGCAGGCTAGAATTCAGGATTCCAAACATGGCCTTGGCTTTTGGAAGTTTGGAGGGAGTTGATGGTGCGCCATATGACGTCGTCCCTATGCCCTCATCAATTCTTATTGGAACGACGACATTAATCATTCACTGCCCTACACGGATTCAAGTTGCCTGAACACTAGGATAGTGCACTCCATTATTTCCTGTCCACGGTAGGGAAGGGGAACACGTGACTTTGACC